TAAACCACAATAATACACGCGCAGTCGAGTCCGCCAGGCAAGTTATGCTCGCATATACATACGTGTAGGTAGGTAAGGTAGGTAGGCTTCTTTTTTCAAGACGTCGCGGACAAACCGAGCAGTCATATTCATCACTACTTACGGCTGCAGTTGCACCTGTGTAAAAATCGACGTTCCTCGCATGCGGCGCATTATACATGTATAGACAGTCAACTCAGTTCTCTCTCTCTCTCTCTCTCTTCTTTCTCGTGTATAGGGCGTTGCTACCTCTCTCGCACACGAAGAGAGGAACAGAGAAAAGAGCGAGAGGTTAAAGACTCCTCCGATCGTATATGTATACACCTATACTATAGGTACTCGTGTGGCTCGCGGCAGAGGCACAACGACGATCATGAACTGCTCTCCTCGGCTCGGTTCTGCCGGTGTGCTGCAGCAGCAGCAGCAGCAGCGCACGATGCCTTGTAACATGAACGCCAAGAGAGGAGGAGAAGCCGAAGAGAGAAGAAACACATCGCCGAGTACTCCAAGTAGAGATGGCAAGAGGGAAAGAAGAAGAAGAAGAAGAAGAAGAAGTGAGTCGAGCCTCGATCTTTTACGCGCGCGGGAAACCGCGAGAAGAGAGAGAGAGTAAGGTTTTTGCCCTGTGTAACTATACGATCGCATATTTCTATCTTTCTCTCTCTCTTTCTCTTGCGCTCTATACGTATACAAGTGTGTGTGCATGTATACATCCAGCGCTAAGACGCCGAGTCTTTTCTTTTTCGACGCGCTTCTCCAACGCGCGAGGATAGACTTTGCTCTTGCAGCTCGATTTTTACTTTTAATGGCTATTTTCCGGTCTAACCTCCTCGCACAGTGGATCTCCGCACGCACAGCAGCAGCAGCAGCAGCATAGAACGAGAGAGAGAGAGAGAGAGAGAGAGAGATCCCTGGTGGATGCTGCTGCCGTACGATTTATATATTTATTCGCATCGATGGAGCGTTTTTGTCGACCGTTCGATGGATGCCTTTACGAATGTGCAAAAGTAACTACCAGTGCGCGCGCCAGCAAGAAAATAGCTTGAAAATTTTAATCGTTTCGGATGCCGAAGGGAAAAAATTGCATCCTTAGAAATGCTATATGTTTAAGGATAAATTATATTTTAGAAAAGAAAATGAAAGGTTTGATAAAAAACCTTGAATTACCAGAAGGATGCGTGCTTTTTATGAACGCAACTCGAAGCAATAAAAGAACCGATTAAAAACGTAACGTAGACAGTGCGTTATTTCGAATGGCATCGAACGTCTCGGCGGATTATAACCACAGCAAAGAGCGATGATAATCACATGCATCGATCCTAGCTCTAGCGAGTAATTAATGTGGATGCAATTTTCCGTAGCCTACTGTACGCGATCGATGTGCATTTGTACGAGTCGTTTAGTGAAACATAATATACAGATCGTCGCACTCGGTATCTACATAGAGTTTCGGTAGCGATGCTAATAAAAGGAGAGGTGTCTTCGCGAGCTTTCGATGTCGTGCGTTACTTTTCATCAGCGTGTTCGTCTGTGCACTGGTGCGCGAACTTATAGACGAGTTACTCTCTGACTCTGTGCGCTCGACACAGAGCCGTGAACGGCTCTGTCTTACTTTCCAGTTTGTTTAATTGTTTCGAGCAAACTTTAATGCTGCCGCGTCACTCGGTTTATTGCCATATCGATACCAAGATCAAAAGCATAACTCGTTAATTACGAAAGATATGTCTGAGTGAATTTAATTTTTTTTGCTCGAGTAGATCTCATTATTGCAAACTTTCATGGGTACATGCGTAATGGCTAAATTTCGCATCAATGATACTCGCAGGAAGAAATAAAACAAAAGACGTCAGAGTGACTCAGGATACTCGGCAGCGCTCATGCATAAACGAGAAAGACACACGGAGCTTCTTCGAGTCCGTATATAATAGTCATGGCAACCATGCCACTGCGCCAAAGCTCGAGCAGCCACATCTTTTGCATATTATACACCGCTCGCTCCGTACATTGTGTATCGTTGTATCGTTGCAGCACTGCTATATCGTGCTGTATATGTTCACGGTTTATGCAAAAGGTATATGCAGCGGGCCTGGAGCGCACGGCAGCTCGTGGCGGGCACGAAAGTTTCGTCGATACATTTATGGAACTTCAAATTCACCAAGGAAATGCCATAGCGACAAAAGCAACACTGCAGTCAAGTGTTTTACATGCTACACGATGCACAATCCTTTTGATTTCCCTTCGATTCTTCGTCTCGTATAATATACACGCTCGCTCTGCACATACACACACATATAAAGCCGTATTATTATAATACGTGCTATATAAGAGTATTTCTTTGAGCCCGAGTCCCGACACGAAAAGAGCCGTATAATCCGCATATATAATGCCAGCTCCTCGACTAGAGATGATAAGATTGGCAGGTGCCACGTAAGAGCAGAGCTGCTGCACATATAAAGCCCATTACACGTTCACAGATCTCTCATCCGCGAACATTGTGGGCTCGCGCGAGATCGTCACGTAACTGCACCGCTACGAAGTGATCTCCCGCTGCAGCATGCCGCGCGCGAAAAAGACTATATTATATCTGCGCCGCTCTATATAAATATATATTTGGGAAAAAGTAGGTTTTTTTTTCATTCGTGTCCGCCCCGTATATATCGCGCGCGGGAGTATTATATTCTCGTAAAGAGTCAAGCGTGAGATCGTTTCGAGCTGCAGCAGCGCAGCTCGACTTGTGCCCCAGAAATTGGGAAATATCGCTCGCGCGCGCGCCGAAGCTATAGCTGCCTACACACTGGATTGACTTTCGCTCGAGAATGCTTATATACATTATATATACACCGCGCTAATGAGCCTGCAACGAATTACGCCAACAACAAGTGCATTTCTTCGATGTTATTTGCCCTATCTACATCGCTATATTATTCGCCTCGTTTTATTTAATCATATTTTATTGCAGTCGAGCTTTCGACGCGCGTACATGCACGCACATCCTTTTTTTTTTTTCATTTAATATATTCAAAAAGTCTCATGTAGGATAGAAACGCCGCGGCACAATATACATATGAGTCGAGCGTTGCATCTTCTCGTGTTTCCAACGCGACGCGCTCCGCGCTAAACTAACATAATGGGCAAAATCATTAGCAGCGAGGAACAATGCGCTCGTCGTGCGCGCCTGCAGCTAGCAGCATATCCGCTAGAAATCCGTCGTACGTAAGAAGTGCGACGCCTTTTAGTTGACTCTCTTAATTGCCTGCGACGCTACTTTGAGTGGGTACGCGCGACGTTTTTATTCCATTATTATACATTATGTACTCGCTTGATCTCGAGCGAATTAAAACCGTGGCAATAAACGATACCACTTGACTTTTCGACGTTTTATTATTAATTAATAGCGCGCAAATTATTTTCGTGCGCAGGCCCAGTTTTTCGCGTCGCACGTGGTGATCGCGAGGAAAAACCGACTCAGGAATCTGTTTCACACGCGCGCACCACTTAAGTATGTGTATAACTATGACGGAGATTGCGCATCGTTGCTGCGCTGCTTTTAGCTTTTCCAGTCACGATCGCAGAGCTTGCTGTCTGTGTATGTGTGCAGCAAGTACAGAAATACTAAGTTAATCCACTTGACTGCCGGAGTATACACATACGATATGTATACCTGGCAACACACATACAATACAGAGTTGCGCCGCCGCCAAGCAGTTTGTCGTGCAAAATTTTTCGCCTGAAATAACGAGTTCTGAATGCTTAATCAGGCCTAGTAGGCGTTGATGGATTTTTTTTTACTTTCATAAAAAAAAAAAAAGTATTCGTAACGTTCGCGTCTTTACGAAGACAATGCAAAAGTATTCCAATGACTGTACAACACACCCATTGTGGTGTGTTGGCAAAAAAAGACTATTACATAAATTAATAATAAAGAGGCGCGCGCGCGAGTATCTCGTCTGCAGGTTCTGGTTGCGGCTTCCAATTACGTTCACGCGCTCGTTGTAGGAAAGCTCTCGGATACTTGATACTCGCTGCGCATGTAAAGCGGCATCTCCTTTTTTTCCTCCACGAGCATCGAGATCGAGAGAAAATTATTTCCTCCTCTCATAATGTATATGGGGTTGTTTTCGCGCAAGATGGATCGTAGATATTTTGAAAACTCCAACTTGTTGCTGCCGCTGCCGCGCGTGTTTTTCACTCGCGAGATTTAGAAAAATGATGCCTCTGGCTCTCGTATACGGGCGCATTTTTTCTGTTCCCACAAACGCAGCACATACTCGCGCGACTCGTGCAGAGCTAAGTCAAAAGACCGTTAGATGCGGAGTGCATCCTGTGAGCGCGAGGCTTTGACTGTAAAATGTAATTAGCAGCTTCATATGTACGCGCGCGTGCATATGTGCTTTTTAGATACAGGCTTTATTACGAGCCAGAGTGATATTTATAAACAATGAAGCTTACATATATTCGCGTGCATTTACTTTCGAAGAAAATATTATTCTTGTCGGTGAAAATAGTTGCTTGTTCCGTAGCCGAACAACGCGGAGAACATTTCGTTTCTGGGTCTGAAAATTGGAATTTCGTTATGCGACCAGCGCTAATTCCTCGATTGGATTACTTTTGAGATTTACAATCATAAGAGGATTTTTTCCCCGCGCGTGTCTTCAATTACGATATAATCGTGCTATATAAAAAGTGCGTCACCTCGGCGGCTCAAATTGTTGAAACGTACACATACGAGGCAGGTTATATAGAGTATACGCTAGTATACGCGACACGACGATGCGCACACTGCAGGCAGGCAGGTAACGTCAAACTCGGCGCGGCACGCAAAACCCGGATGAAAAACGAGAGCTTACATGCCGCGCATCGAGTGTGCGTCCTGGAAACTTTCTTTACACTCTCTTGCGATATCACGCTATGTTGCACGCACGGACCAACTCATATATACACGCACGCACACGTATACATGTAAGCGCGTTTCATATACTCACTTGTATGCGCTGCTACTGCTGCTGCCGGCTGACTCGCAGCGAGTCGCAGCCATATAGGAGAATACCACGGCAAATAAGTGTTGCGCAAAGCGTGAAATCGACGCGATCGCGCGCCTTACGACTGATTAATCTAATTCTCAAGCGCAATTGTGCGCCACTGGGCTGCTGCTGCTGCTCTACTCTCGACCCGATTATCTGTGGCAGCACTTCTTTACTGCGACGCTGCATTATAACTATATGTGATCTCTTCTCAATGTCACGAGAGCTCCAGATCGAGTTTTGTATGAATCGAGATTGGCCGTTGGATTGAAAATGCGATAATCGAAATAAGTAAGATACGTTGGTTCGTACGCGTTGAAAAAATAAAATGTATGCAGAGTCGCGCGTCAGATGGTAGATTGGCTGGGCTGCTTGACGTTAGAAATAGTTTTGTAAGAATATCAATCAAAAGATCCTTGCCAGGGTTTACAGGAATTTTAAGACTCCTAGGGCTGCATCGATCTAATGATCTGTGTGAAATAAAAAGAGCATGAAGAAAATATTTCAACATTTGCAGTTTATTTTGACAAACATTCAAGAATTCATTCAAATTGAGAGGGTACCAAAATAGGAACAAACTTAAAAATTTTAAAAACGTTTACCGATGTTAATCAAAATTATTGCCAGTCTTCACTACTGCAGGACGAGCATCATTATCTGTAAATCCAAATGGCAAAGTGAAAAGAAATGTATATAATTCGAAGCATGGTTTCGATTTAATTTTTATCCGATAACTATTTTAATTGAATTATTTTCTATATTATACTTTCGGTACCTGCAAAGTGTCAATCTATTTTGACGCTGAAAATTGTCAATGAAACCAAATCATCGAGATGTAATATACTTGTCGAGATCGGATTTCAGTAACGCACCGGACAAGCATAAAAGCAACAATCGTTAGTGGTTTTTATGAATGTACCTGGATTGCAATGCTTATGAGCTATATAAGCATTTTTTGTTATTTGACCATATACCACAGTATCAACCGATCGTCTTTGTGGTACGATACTTTAAATAATCCACCACAAGTTACATGTTCAACGCTTGAGTAGCGGTGGTAATAGCACTTCTACAAAAAGTTATCTTATTTTTGGTTTTGGTAAATGAGAGATCTTTTTTGTTTTGTCTGCAGCAAATCTATGAAATGACCAATTTAGTGACAACTTTGAAAGAGGCCTATACTCTAATATATTATTTCCAACCTTTGCCGCTAGATGGCTAACTTCCTTATCTGAAAATCCGCAAGTGGTAAAGTAAAAATAATTGTATAAGTCAAAGCACTGTTATTGTACTTTCATTCACATAACATAAAATATAAATTGGCTGAAGTTGGTTTTTAATAAACAATATAAATCATATGATGTCATATTATTAATTTAAGACTTAAAATTTTCATAATGGTGACATCGTTGATTTTCAAATTCTTCGGTACGAAATTCAAATCGTCTCATTTTGCAACACGTTCGAGCTGCTTCTGGCTTGAACCTCTCAATTGCAGCATAATTTAAGATCTATTATTGTAACTTTTTGCGAAGAATTGAATTGTTTTCTCGAAAGAGGTCATTGTTATTATATCGTTTGACATTTTCACGAAATCCGTTTGGGAAAACAATGCCCCGCGCGTGACGCAATGTTCAATGTTATAAGCCGTAAAAAGTTCCAATAAATGCAGGACATTGTCGCGACAAAAATCTGTACGCAACTCTGTTTATTTAATGTGTAACTGAAAAACGATTTAACTCGAACACGATGTCGAGCCATTGAACACGTGTATGATTTATAGCCGCCTTCGACTCGGGGTTCTCTGGTTCTCTGCTCGGGGCAAACTGATATTACGTATGGTAGATCGCCCGAGGAAATAGTTTAAAAGGCTGGAAATGTCAAAAAATTAGTTGCGCGCTCGCCAAGTCTGAACGATATAATCCGCGATGACAGTTTCACTCGGACGTCGTAAACGTCGAGAGGCATAGACCTCCTGGCAAGAGAGAGTTTTAATCCATTTTCTCGAGTGTATTTAACGCGTGCGTAGGAAAAAAAAGAAAAAAAGAAGGTTCGATGCGGACAAAAAAGTCAACATCAAAGCTATTAAGTGCGACGGAAAACTGTCTAATTGACTCGTGCTTTTCTCGCACTATACGCGGCTGTTGCAGTTGCGAAAGTTTCGGTTGCGTCGAGTGGGCGTAGCTGATTTGCCGGTCATGTGCGTACGCGCGTACATACATACGTATATACACTCGAGCGAATTCCTCTCGCTATCCGAGCGCTGCAGCTGATCTGGATCGACGCGTGCATAATATATAAATGCGCTGATCGATCTCGGTGCGTAGTACGTTGCATATATACGGCAATTCGAGTGAATCGACTCCGTCCGTGCGTACAAGCAGCTACAACTTTCGACACTTTTCCTTTTCTTTCTGCGTATTAAGATATTCAACCCGTGTAGCGTTATGGAATATTCGTTGCTGCGCGCGTCATTACGATGGCCGGTAACGACGCTCGGATGTAGAAACCAAAAGTATACAGAAGATCGTCCTGAATCGGCTTCGTGGGTGATTCACTGAGTGAAACCAATTCGCACTTTGTGTAATGACTCTTTTTACGCGCGCCAATTCGTTTCATCACGAGAAACGTCGCGATCTCCCGTCACGCATGTGGCACTCCGGAGACGCCGTCGTCATCGAAATTAACGAACATTAAGCGCAAACAAGATCGCGATCGATACGAGTCGTGCTTGCGCAGAGAGAGAGAGAAAGAGAGAGAGGCGCATGGAATACCGGGGCACGAGCCTACCTCGCGCCTAGCGGAGGAGCAACGATTTGTGTCTACAGGCGGATAAAGTACACGAATTCAAACGTCGGCGAAACGTCTCATTGGGCCGAGAAGGTGCAAGTGAGTTCAATTCTGCACGCGAGCCGCTCCGCCGGGCAGATCGCGTGTCGGGTCGTCAAGTGAATCCTCGCGTTTCTCCCGTGGATACCGGCGCGAAATGATTTCTCCTTGCACACCTCTGAAAACTTCCTCGAGAAATTTCATGCTGGAGCTCCGAAAAACTTGATTTAACGAGAGTATCTGGAAAAATTATTCTACAAATTTCTGAAGATTTAATTAACTTTCTATCGTTCCTCGCGAGTTCGTTTTATCGATCATATGCTAAGAGCATCCATTTGTCATGGTATCAAGTGAAGATTTATTGGCTTTTAAAGTATAAGATTGTATGAGCAATGTTGCAAGTTGTATGCAAGTAGGATTTAGTGCAATTACCGTTTGAATATCAATTCATTGGATTATAAATTATAAATGCATAACAAACCTAATCCTTGAAACTCGCGCGAACTCCAATTCATAAATAATTATTTTTAGTATCAGCGATGATCATTTTTATGCCTCTCTAATTCGATGAGATAATACAAAATAACACGAGGGCAAGGAAGAAAGTTTGGCTGCAACACCTCGACGCGAGCGTTTATACGAAGGCAACGATTACCGTGCACAACGCGCGCGTAGATGCCAATGACGTCGTCGTCTTTGCCAACAATTAACGCGCGCTCGGCTCGCTCGCGCGCACGGATATCCCCAACATTATTCAAATATCGTTTTAATAGCTCGGCGCGTCGTCGGCATGCGCCGCCTTTGCATAACGATCCATAATAATAATTTTTCTCGACGATTTTCATAATAACAGCAGGACCAGCAGCAACAGCGAGACGTATTATCCGTACTTACGTTGGCTGGGTGTATACGCGCGTCATAGCCGTGGCACGAAAGCGTATCGAGAGTCGACTGCAAAAGGCTCATGCGGCGCGCGCTCGCGAGAGGAGATTTCAATGCTGGCGTAAACAGGCGCAAATAACCGACACGCCTTGTATACATACAAGTACGCGCCACCGCGAATCTTCCTTGTATATAGTGGATCGCGGATGGAATCACGAAGCCCGAGTTACAAACGCGACGGGCATTGCTCAAGTGAATTCCTCTGATAAGTGACTCAAATTTTTATGGCTTTAAAAAAACATTACACAGTATAATTACTTGGAACAAATAGATCATTTGGTTCGGTTGGAGTAAATCATTTTTTAGCGCGAGTACATTCCACAAATTCGCAAATTTCGCGAAAAAAATCTAGGTAAAATGTAAATATACTCAGTACAAACACGAGTCGCGAGTAAAAAGTTGCAACATGCGTGAACTGTACGGACAAAAGCGAGCTCGCGCTCTGGTCCCCGCTTTGGAAAATCCGACTTGCTGCAATTCATCGTCCCAGTAATTTCTTTGAAAAAAAAAGTTGCTTGCGCGCTCGTTCTCCATACGGTAAAATATACATACGTATATACGTACACGAGGCATGCGCGCGGGCTTATTCAATAACGAGGCCCGCAACTGAATAAGTTGTAAAGCGAGCCACGCGCGGTACGTAGTACACGTAAATCAGCGCAAAAACCTCGTGTCATTACGCGCTCGCCGGCTCGCGTATTATCTCCCGCAGGTACGTGTACGCAGAACAAGCTATGGACCCGATGCAGAATTAGATCTCTGCGTCCGTTGGCGATATACGACTATTCGCAAAGTCACAAATGTTGTGCTCTCCATTGAAATTCATGAGCGTCGGGTAATTATGCCGGTGCTGCTGCCTGTGTATACATACGTTGCATATAATGAGCTTGATGCGCGTTACACATTGTATTGTTTATAACTCGGCGAGGAATAAGTGAATCGCATAGGCTCGAGTAGGGTACGCGGCTTGTACCATTACAGTGATTAGCTATGTACGCATGTGCATGTGCACGGCGAGTAGATAAAACACGCCGCCATCTGCTTATTTGTATATTCCATTGTAAAGATCGTGAAAGGCGATTGCGAATGAAAAGGTCCGAGAAATCTGCTTGGCGGCGGCAGCAGCGATATGGAAATATGAAATATTACAAGTAAATACGCAAAGTGCGCGCAGCTGCAATCAGACTGAGAAACAGCCAGACGTTTAAGGAGTATATAATATTTTTCAATTTTCCACGAGCAGCGTTTACGG